TTCTGTTGTTTAAATAACATCTTTCAAACGGCACCTTTACACATGCCCGTGCGTGTGCTATTAAAAGCTGACTGTATGTATATAACTTCATTATATTTCTACAGAATAACGACGTCAGAGAATCGATCTCGTGCTAATTTTACGATCGAGTTGATGGCAAAATAATTGTAATTTTCGTCTATAGTGAAATATTAATCATAGTTGCTGAGATTAGCACGCGAACTATGCTCTAGTAACATTACTACCAAATTAATGCCTATTTAAGATGAGTTAGGGGAGAATCTACTGAAAATCGTACGTGTATAATTTATCGTAGATCTTTTTGCAATCTAATAAAGAAAATACTGGGTTTTAATAACGATCTTGGTGTGTAAAGCAGGCTGGAATATTTATTAAATTCATTATTCACTGCGTTTTAACTTACAGTGAAACGGATAATACATAATTTATGCAATGTCATTGTCGCGTGTTGGTGACGAAGCGAAAATTAAAATAGAATAGAAAATTAAGTGCCGTTACTTTAAAAATAATACGTTATGGTGCTTATTTTCTCTTTAGCGACACTACACTGCACGAATAAGCTCTTTCAAAGCCATAGAGAACCTAAAATTTCATTAGTTTTATTTAAACATAAATTTCGTCTAAATATACAATGTCATCTACTACACCTTATAATTTCTCCTGCTTACTTACGTGACCAAATTTTTGACTGTAGAACGTCAATTATTGCTGAACGTTAAAACGCTATAGAACAATACAAACACTGAGTGTGCTTGCATGCGTGCGTGCTCGCGCGCGTGCGTGCGTGCGTGCGTGCGTGCGTGCGTGCGTGCGTGCGTACGTGCGTGCGTGCGTGCGTGCGGTGTTTTCATGGCCCGCCGTGGGCCTTATATTGGCGCGTCACGCGTCGAAATTGCTCACTCGCTGTCTGCATGGTGTTGTTTTACATGTGTGTGTGCGTGTGTGCGTGCGTGTGTGCGTGCGTGCGTGCGTGTGTGCGTGCGGTGTGGGTGGGAGGGACACCCCTAACGAGCGAATATAGGGGTTAATATCGGCTGCATTGTTGTATCGGTCAGCTATCGTGGCCGTAGTGGCACGCATTATTCGCGCAACTAATTCCAGATCGAGTCTTATCTCTTATCCCCCCATGCAGCCTTTTGTTGTACGGAGAAGTGGCAGCAGAATGCGGCAGCCAGTGGCGGACTTGCGCTCTCTCTTGACTGCTGAGAAGAACAATCGGGGCCCTTGTCAAAATTACTGCGGTTGACCTGAAACAAAGGGTCGTACCCCTATGCCTATTGTCTTTCAAGTGGGAAGCTTTGCGTGGAATGGGAAGACGGTGGGGGTTGTCAGTAAAACCTGTAATTAGGCGAGGAAATACGGCAGACTGCCGACGACAATGGCACAGTGTGACCGCGCGTGAAGAAATGCGTCGGCGCGCGCAGGGGGCGCCGCTCCTCTATTCACAACCGACAAGCGTTCGCCCCCAGCAAAAATCCATCTCAGGTTGTAGCCAGCGCCCCCTGTAGGCGGTGTTAGGAAGCTAATCGTTTCACTACATCGGTAGACGAGAGCGGCAACGTTGATTGGTCCCTGAAGACGCATTTGTCAGATGTCGCATTTCGTCTCCTCTCTCTCTCTCGCTCTCTCTCTCAGAGCGCAACTCTTTCATAGTCTTTCAACGCTTCTCCCCTTCCTCCTCCTCTTCCCGCGGCGTTTGCACTCACGTGAGTATCAGGAGCTAAAATCACCGAGAATCAAACATCGTAACTAGATCACAGGCGGACACCTGCGTCGCTGGCGTCTGCTACCAGCGCAAGCGCGCGCGCCCTCTGTCGTCGACCACACGAAACATTGACACCTTCTGCTAACGGTGATCTATGGCCGTCCATGTAACGCCCGCATGCGTGCGACAGTGCAGGAGCTCAGTACACGTTATTAGCGTCAGGGCGGTCGACGTACGATCAAAGCGACCGCGGCATTATCCACAAGATGGCAGCCACAAGATGGCCGCCACAAGATGGCTGCCACTAGATAAGTGTTCACACAGTAGCGGTATTGCTGCTGCCACATGCGCGCGCACACACACACACACACACACACACACACACACACACACACACACACACACAC